TTTATTAATCCAAGAGGCTCTGCTGAGAGCCCCTGTACCCACCCAGGAGGGAGCATGGGGTGGGACAGCTCCTCTGAGGAGCACCACGATGCTGCAGAGATACTGAGGGATGTGCCTGGGATGCACAGCAGGACGGGGCTGAAGGGGTGATTTACAGATGTCAGGCCCTTGCACTCATCCCCTTGAGGGGATGATGCTGTGGGGTGGAGAGGGGTCTTGTTTTGAGCCACTGTGAGTCCATCGTGGTGTCCAAGTGTCCACGGGAGAGGTTGGATGTGTTGGCTTTGCCCCAGCAAGTCCTGGGCAGTGGCAGTAGCTGAGTCCTCTTACAAATGGTTTGGGCTGGAGGGACCTTAAAGCCCATCTTGTCCCACCCCCTGCCATGTTCAGGGACACCTGCCACTATCCCAGGCTGCTCCAAGCCCCGTCCAGCCTGGCCTTGGACACTTCCAGGGATCCAGAGGCAGCCACAGCTGCTCTGGGCACCCTGTGCCAGCGCCTCCCCACCCTCACAGGGAAGGATTTCTTCTTAATGTCCCATCCAACTGTGCCCTCTGTCAGTGGGAAGTCATTCCCTCTTGAGCTGTCACTTTATGACCTTTATCAGAAGTCCCTCTCCAGTTTTCTGCACCTTTGCAAGAGGGAGGTCCCAAGCTGAGAAGCTATTTAAAGATTAGAGCTGATGAGATGCTCTTTAAAATACAAACTCAGCTCATCCCTGAGTCTTGAATCTTTATTTTTTTCTAATGAGGATCTTTATGACCCTTTCATTCCTCATCCTGGGACAGAGGTGTGTGTACATGTACATTTATCCTGCTGATGTTCTGGATTAAAACACACCCTTGACTTGTGCCCAGCAAAGCAAAAACCATCTCACCATCAAATTCACAAAAGCGGCACAAAATGCAGCTTTCACCTGAGATACTGATTCACCCACACGAGCCTCATCGTTTGTTCTGCATCCATTTTTAATATGTCCCCTCCAAAGGCAGAAATGCATGTACAGCAATCGTGTCAGCTGAGTTACATGGAAAATAAAAGGCTTTAAATGGATGTCTTTAAAGTGATGCCTGTTCCAAGGCCAGTAAAATGCTTTGCTGCTTCGTGGAGGGTTGATCTGCTGCCCAGAGGAGTCCAAGATGGGATTTGCAGGAGCAGGAGTGGAAACTTCAGCCCCAAATGTTATCTGGAGATGTTCACCACAATTAAATAAAAGAAAACCTCATTGGTGTTGTTAACACCCATCAGTGGCTGAAGCATCAAGGATGCAGAATCCAGCAGTGCCATGGAAGCTTAATGTGATCAACTAAAATATAATTAACAGCCAATTATTTCAGTGGGAATGGTAGTTTTCATCAGTTGGTCTGGGAAATGTCTGAATTGCATTAATTTCATCTCTGCCCACTTGCAGCAGACTTGGAAGGGGTTGGAATGAGTGATGGGGCTCATCCATGCAAGGCAATACCTCCTTCTCCTCTTGGGTAGCCAGGAATTACAGAAGGCACCCAATTCCTCTCCCTCCTCAAAGAAAAAAAAGGTTAAAAAAAAGGAGAGAAAATTAAAAAGGGACAAAAATATTGGGGCAAAAGTGCTGTGGAAGCTTTTTACATTGAGGTTGTTGTGTTTAGAAGGCAATTCCTAATGGCAGGTTTAACTTTGCACCCTGATAGTGACACTTGCAAGGGTGAACTGCAAAACAAAAAGTCTTTAAAAAGTATTTTCTTCTCCTGATTGCTTTTGCATCGTGTTGAGGGGTGTGTGGAGTCCCTTGTGAGGGGCACTAAGCCCTGGTCCCTGCTAGAGAGGGCTGATGCTCACTTCAAACTCCTTTGCAGCTTCAAGCAGAGGCACAGCTCCATGCAGCTCATAGGAATCCCATGGAAATCCTCCCCCAGCCATCTGTGTGTGAAAGAATGAGAGGCTGAAATGAGGTTCCTGAATAATTGACCCCATTTTCCCAGCTATTGGAACTTTCCTGTAGCAATCACCAAGAGCTGCCTGCAAACGGCTCATTTCAGGTCATTTATTTGGGTACTTAAACCTGGCAGAACAACGGGATTTTCTCCCCCCTCTTTTCAAATGAAGCTAAAATTTCCCTTTCAAGCTGAATCTCTTAATGCAAATTATGCCAATAACATGGGATTTCTCCATAGGACCCTTGTGAGCAGGAGGTGCTGGAAAGGTGGGATGGAAGCTTGGAGGAGAGTGATGGAGAGCACATGCTCTGTGCTGGGGGGGAAGGTGCTTTGAGGAGTAAACTGGTGTGATTTTGGTGGGCAGAGTAGCAGAGGAAGCATTGGAGAGATGGAAATACTGTACACAAGTGAGTGGCGTTGCAGGTACGTGCCCAGAGAATTTGTAGCTGCCCCTGGATCCCTGGAAGTGTCCAAGGCCAGCTTGGACAGGGCTTGGAGCAGCCTGGGGTAGTGGAAAGTGTCCCTGCCCATGGCAGGGGGTGAAACAAGATGAGCTTTAAGCTCCTTTCCAACCCAAATCAGTTTGTGATTCCATGACATTGGCAGGAGCCCTGAGAGGGAGTTGGAAAGAGGGATTTTCCTATCAAACCCTGACTGCATGGATTGTGCTTTCCAATTTTTTGCATATAGATATGCATATATATATATATATATATATATATAAAAATCGGATTTAGCTTAGCCATACATAATATATATGTAGCAAATATAACTATATATTGCAAAGCATAATCTTTTTTCTACATATATATATATATATGTATATCTCAAATTATATGTCTAAAAAAGCAAGAATTTTGGATTTCTGGCTGATCAATAGCTCATGTTCTCCATAGCTTTGGCTTGCAGCTGGCAGTGTGGGGAGCATGGTGCTGCATGCTTCTCTCCAGATTACATCTGTAGTTTCTCATGGATCTCAGATTTTAATCCTTCAGCAGTTTCTGCCTGCATCAGGAGCTGACTCCTAAGTGGGGATGAAATCCCTTTGTTGCCTGTTTTGGAGGAGAGATGATTTTCAGTTTTTTCAGTGTTTCTAACCATGACCAGAGGGGACCAGTGCATTTTTGGAGAGCTGCACTGGGAAGTGCATTACAGCACCTTGGGCCATGCCCAAGGACCTCTCTGGAATTCCTTGCTGCAGAATTCCCCCCTGGGCTGTCCTTGGTCTTATTTCCCCTTTCCTTTCCCAGATCACTTCCTGCTGGGTGGGGATTTTCTTGGTTCCCACCAAAATGCTGCAATTTGCAGGAATCCATCAGGACAAATCACCCCTGTGCAAGCTGCCCTGCCTGCATCCTCATCTGCAGGTTAATTTTTTTATCCAGGAAAAAAAATTCCCTTGGTGAAGTGGCACATAAGGAAAGGTGAAAATGAGTTACAAGAAGGGAAAAAAAAATAGCAATTTGTTGCAGCCAGGGGTATTTTGTGGGGCTGCAGGGGACTTTTGTGTCTGGGGAAGGCGCTGGGTGGGTTTTGCACACTAAATACTCCACCATGTGTGAGCCCTCCACATCCTCTCAGGGTTCCCAGAGGCTGGAGGGGACACGCTGCATTTCTCCCATCCCTGGGGAAGATCCTGTTGGCCTTGGCCGCCTCCAGCTCTTGCTTTTTGCACGGATTTCAAGAAACCACTTTGGGCCGCACCAAATCCCCCAGCCCGGAGCTCGACTGTTCCTCATTAGTGACTTTATTGCTAAATAATTTACAGAATGGGGCCTTGCCAGTTTTCATTTGGGAAGCATTTCAAGTATGTGCAGCAGATTTTATGCCTTCCTGGTGCAGCTGCTGGGGGGAGCTGCCTCTCCCTGTCCTGCCGCTGGCGTCACCTCCCGGCCTCGCTCCGCGAGCGCTGCCGGAAAGGAAACGGCCCAAGCACGTGCAGAGGGACCCAGGGAAGAATAAGGGGGAAAAGCCCTGTGTTCCACATCCAGTTGTTACACTGGGGAAAGGACACAACCACTGTGGTTTGGGGAGGAGGTGTTTGGTTTTAATTTCTGTTTTGTTTTTCTGGTACCTGTGATGTGTGTGCTGATGAGGTCGTTTTTTCTGCCCATGTCCACGATGCCAACCCAAGAGGATGTGGATGTCCCATCCCTGGAAATGTTCAAGTCCAGGTTGGACTTAGAGCAATCTGGTCTAGTGAAAAAAATCCCTGCCTGTGGCAGGGGGTGGGACTGGATGGTCTTTAAGGTCCCTTCCAATCCAATTCCTATGGAATCAATAAGCCGGTTTGGGATGTGAAAGGGTTTTTATTCCCCCGTTTTTAATGGGGAAGGAAAGCAAAGCCAGACTCAGAGGGGGGATTGCAGCGGTACCTGCACAGCCCAAAAGTGCAGTTGCAGGATGGGGGTGATGGGTGCAATGTGGAAATAGAAGAAAAGCACTTTATTACACTAAACAGTGGGTGCAGCTGTAGGAAACGAGGTGCTGGAGCCTTCTCCAGTGCCTGCTGTGGAGGGGATCCCAGCTGGGTTCTGCCGTGATGCTCCTGCTTGGAGGAGTGAGCAGTCACTGGGTGTAAATCTGTAAAATTCAGGATTTGGGGCTGTGGATGGAAGTGCCATCTTCCCTTGTCCAGTCTCACAGTGGTTTTATTGAGTGTGCCCTGAGCATGTGGGTGGCTGGAGGCAGAGCTGAGATGTGTGGGAGCTCAGAAGACTCTGTTGGACCCCAGCCCTGTCAGTGAGTGGTTTGGATAGGAAAGTCCTTCTTGATTTCTTCTTACTGTTCTTACTACATATTAACATCTATTTTTATATTTTTTAATGCAAAAGCCATCATGCAGTGGAGGCTCCCCTCCTCCCTCCTGGTGCCTTCCCATCACACCCATCCTGCTGCTGCAGGTCCAGGAGGTGCAGTCCCAGCGAGGTGGGACTGGGGTAGTGGTAGTGCTAGCAGGTTTTGGGCTGTGCAGAGCAGTTTTGCCAGCAGGGAGGGGCCACCCCAGCAGCGTTTCCCCGGGGTTTGAGTTTGCAGCGGGACGCGGGGCCGTGCCGGGAGCCGTCACTCACTTCCTCACATTGTGTCTCTTCTTCCTCCAGCGCTGCTGCGGGAGGAGGTGGCCCAGCTGCAGGAGGAGGTCCACCTGCTCCGGCAAATGAAGGAAATGCTGGCCAAGGACCTGGAGGAGACTCACGGCAGCAAGTCCCCGGAGGTGCTCTCGGCCACCGAGCTGAAGGTGCAGCTGGCGCAGAAGGAGCAGGAGCTGGCGCGTGCCAAGGAGGCTCTGCAGGGTAAGGGCTGTGCCTCCCTCTGCTGCGCCTCTCCCCGGCACCCAGAACTTCCAAAAAGCTGATGAATGAGGGAAGGAGAAGCCATCCTTTCCACTTGGGCTCTGCAGAGTGCCTTCAGCTGCTGCTCCTTGGTTTGGTGTCCCTGGGACGCCCTTGCTCTCCTGCCCCGCCAAGGGGTGGTGTGGAGCTGGGAAATGGGATGTGAGGGCTGATTGCAGCACTGCAGAGGAATTCCTCCACATCTGTAGAGTAGAGCCAAGGCAGCAGCTGAAATGCAGCTGGAGATGGCATTTGGGTTGGATTTGAGCCCCTGGTGACTGCAACTTTCCTTGTCCCACGTGGAGTTACCTCCAGGTGACGTGGGCCTCCTTCCTTCATGCCTGATTTTGGGAGATTTTTGTGGCAGTCAGGGCTGTGCTGTCCCTTCCTCACCAGCATAGCAAGACCCTGGATTGGGGTGTGCTGAGCAAAACACAACATTGCAGCTTTTCCACTCTAAAACCACGCTGACAATAAATCCAGGCAGGATGGTTTGTTAGCTGGAGCCGGGGGATGATCCTGAGCGGGGAAGGCTCTCACTCGTCAAAGCCTGGCAGTGCTGCAGCTCTAAATATCATCTCAAATCCCCAGCACAGCGAGTGTAGCTTGCACTTGTCAGCTCGTGTTTGCGGATTATGAGGAGAAGCTGTCAGAAGTTTTCAGGCTCACAGGCTGAGCGGCACGTGGGGAGCTCTGGGGCCTCTGCATCTCCCCCTGTCCAGGATGCTGAGATGCTCGGAGGTGCAGGGAATTGGGCTGAGTCAGTGTTTGGGGAAAGGACTTGAGAAGATTTTGGTATCGCTCTCTGATGGATAAAGACATCCCTATGTATCAGCAACAGCCAAAATACCCCCAAAATCCTGCTTCCCCCCACGCCACCAGGGCAGCCTCAGGCAGCAGGAAATGCTCTGGGTTTATAGAACTGTAATTGGAGGAGAAAAACTGTAATTAGGGAATATTTGCTCCATGTGGATGGGGCAGGGGGGAAGTGCTGATAAATGCAAAATGCTGAAAAGCAGAACTGTTATAATAGTAGTTACAAAAAAAAAAATAAGAGAAAGAAGTCATCTCAGAAGCTGCAATGAGGTTGTGTGTGTTTCTGTGGAGGACAGTCCAGAGAAAAAGTGAGTTTGGCTTGAAAATTATGAATATTTTTAGGAATATAATGTTTGGGTTTTATTGGGCTTTTACTTGCCAATATTCAAGCCTCTGAGCTTGGTTTTCGAGGATTTCTCTGTAGGTGTGGTGGCTAGGAAGAGAGAATCTCAGTTGGCACTTGGATGGACACATAGCAAGAAGCTTTTCTCAATTGATGCTCCTTCCCTGTCCTGCAATATTGAGAAGCTTTTGTGGTTTTTGGGAAAGTTGTCCAGGCTGGATCTGGGCTGGAGGCTCTGGGCCTCAGAGCAGGCTTGGCAACAGTGACTGAGATGGATAACTTGAAAACGAGATCAGCAGCTGGAGGGGAAAAAAATCCTTTTTCCTTTCTGTGAAAAATTGTCCAGAGAGAAATGTAGCCAAAAATGGAGGAAAAACAGTCTGGTGACTGGTTCTGCCAGGGGAGATGGATCTGCTGATGGACACAGGAGAGTCATGGTTCTGTAGTAAAGAACTGCAGGATAAAGCCATGCCAGGAGCACAGGGAAACTTGGCCACGCTGTTCTGCACTTTAGGGATCTGTGTCAGTTGTGTCCTGCAGCCAGAGCAGCTCCTCCTCACAGCCTGCATTCCTGCATCCCCCGTCCCACATCCTCACCAAAGGCTGCCCCACATCCAGCAGCATCAGCTGCAGCATCCCTGCAGCAGCCCACGGTCCATGGTGGGTCCTGTGGAATGTCATTAGTGGATAAATTATATGGAAATCTGTCATCAGTGCTGGCTCTGAGCCTGGAAGTGCAGCACAGCTGGTTCAGATGGATCTTGGCTCACCAGGCCACGCTGCAGAGGGAAGCAGAGAGGATTTGCTGAGAGGGTTTGCTCTTGGGGGCTCCAGCAGTTTTTAAGAGCCTTTATTTTGCACAACCACATAGAGTTTGGTTAGTGATGGTCTCCATGGAGGGTGGGTTCATTGTCCCCCTTTGGAGATGCATTTCCAGCCCTTCCCAACAGCATTTGGCACAGGATAAGCCTGTGCTGCATCTTCCCTGTGCTGTGCTAACAGGTCCTTGCTGTGGAGAGTAGGAGCAGTGATCTGACCCAGCACAGGGTGCTCTGCAAGAGCAACTTGAGTAGTTTCTTTATTTCTGTCAGCATGTGCTTTGTGCATCCTTATTCTGCTTTTTCCTGGGCTAATTCCACCCCTTGAACTTTCTTAAATCCATTAACATTAACATTAACATTAACTGAAGTCCCATAGTGCTACAGACCACTGCCCTCTCCACTTCTGCCACAGCTGGGACTCTGAATTAGTTGTTATTCCCCCCATCCTGGCTGGAAAGGTGTGGATGTGGTCTGGATTTCTGGTGTGGAAATCCCTGATGGGAGAAGTTGCAGACAGCTTTATTACTGCTGGTCCTGCTGCGGGCAGGGACCGTGCCCAAGCGCCTGGGGGACTCGAGGAGCCTCTTGGCTGGGTGACATCCATGAGCATGTGGGCTAATGGCAGAAACCCCATTTCTGGGAAGGTTTATCCAATATGCTGGAGCTTGCCTGCGGGATTATCACACAGAGAGCAAACCTGGTTTCTGTTTCCTTTTTGAGTGTCAGGGTGGAAACCTCAGGCTGGCTTTCCCTGCTGCTTGGAAAGGCATGAACCAACTTCATGTCTGCTCCACAACAGGGTTGTAGCCTGGTTTTCTCCCTCCCTCACCTTCATCTCAAAGCTGTGACTGCCCAGGAATGGTATTTGGGCTGGGGAAAGCCTCCTTCAGAGATCCACAGCACCCTCAACTTGCTGCAGTGAGGGGTGGGTAGCAAAGAAATGCGTGGATGGGTGTCCCAGTGGATGGATGACCCAGAAGATGGGGGTTGCATCAGAAGAATGTCCCAGAAGGATGTGTGACCTGGCAGAGGGGTGTCCCAGAAGATGGGTGTCTCACTGGATGGATGTCCTGACTGACGGATGTCCCAGCCATGGACCCAGCCAACGAAGCCATCTCCACTACAAGGACATGGATCTCTACAGAAAATCTGTTGTTCTCATTTGAAGACCCACCTGAAGTTTTCAGAAGTCATTGACCACCTTGTTGACTGCTGGCTCAGGTTTGGAAAGCTCTTGGCTGTTACCAGGTAAACTCCCCCAAGGAGAATTACCTCACCTAACTTTTTCCTGAAATTTGACATTGGGCTGTAATTTCCTGCCTGCTCTGTACCTCCACACACCCAGGAGCGAGTTCTGGCTCTGCCTGACACCACAGAACGTTGATGTTTCCAACGTCAGGATCCTCCTGGTGGTGACAGCTGCCCCAGGGACCGCACGTGCCTCTTTAATTGCAAAGCAAGGAGCAGCACCACAATCCTGATTTTATGGGTTAGTCATGGTGACAATATTGGATTTCATGGCTGCAAGGAAGAAACAGGAGAAATTAAGTGAATGTTAATGGGTCAGGATGGGTTTGCACATTCCTTCTGCACGGGGCATCGCTGGGGTTCCAGCTGTGCTCCCCGAGGATGCCCTTCCCTGCACTGGAAAATAAGTGTGTGATTCAGTAAGTGATAAAGTCATCCCTGGTTCTGTTCCTGGCATGAAAATTCACATTGTGTGGGGTGAGAGAAGGACTTGGAAGTGGGTGGGAGTCACAGGAAGCTGCTCTTTGGAGTTCAGGGGTGTGCTGCATCTGCTGCCAGTGCCCTGGTGTGTGTCTGGGCATTGCTGCCTCATCCCAGGAATGTGAAACTGGGCAGAGATGCTGCTTCTATGGTTCAAACAGTCCTTCTTCATCTAATATCCCATTATGAAGGTAGTCAAACTAATTTTTACTCATATGTCGTCCAAGGGAACCTTGGCTGGGTGGTGGGTTCTCATAGGACCAGGGGTGGGATGTCACTGATCCTTCTTGTAGGTCCCTTCCACATCAGGATGTTCTGTAACTGATATCCCCTTAATCTGATCCTGTTAATTTCAAAGAGGGAAGGCAGTATTTAGAGCAGCTTCCATCCTGGGGGAGATGCCTGGGTTTAGGATACAGGAGCTAATTCCCAGCTGGAAGCTGCTGGATGGTGAGATCAGCCTGGGGCCATGGGGTGGTGACACTTCCAGTGGTGGCATCTCTGGGTGGTTCCAGCCCTGCTGCTGCCCCAGACTGGGCTGTGCCTCTCCAGGGGAACAACTGGATTTTGGCTCCTCACAAAAAGCTGGGAATAAAAGGCACTGAGGGGGTGGATTTTTAAGTGCTTTGGCTGCAGGAGGAGCTCGGTGCCGAGCCAGTCCCGTTCCATCCCTGTGTCCATCATTCCTCTCCCAAAGGACCGAGGGGATGATCGAGTGGCAGAAGGTGGAAGCTCAAATAACAGGAGGGAAGGGTGACCTGGTGCAGGTGGGGGTGGTGGGGAGAGCTGGGGGCTCACCCAGCTCATCCCAACCCATCTCCCCCATCCCTTGCTGAGCTGCCAAGGGGGGCTGCTGGGTCCCCCCTCTCCTTCTGTGCTTTGTGGGGAGGGCAAAATTAATAATGCAGGTCGGAGAAGTAGTTTCCACTCATGGTCTGGGTTTAGGATTTCTTCCTTCTTTTCTTGGGTTTATGAAGAGGTCAGAGGTTTGGCCGGAGCCCACTGTGCCGATGGGCTGGGGGAGTTTATTTGGATACTTGTGGGGGTTTGGGATACAGAAACCAGGCCCTGGATCATCAGATTAAAGGAAAAAGCCATTTCACCTCCTCAGATGGCCCTGATAGCCAGGGAAAATCTGCTTTATCCCTCCTTGGCTGGCCATGGATTGCAAAGGCTCGTTTTCCCCGACTGAGTAATTAGCTGGGCTGGTTTGCTAAGGACGAATTAAGCTGCTGCAGCAAGTGGGGCTCGGTCCAGGAGCTGCTGGCAGCCCTCACAGCTCACTTCTGCCTCACTTTTTATTTTCCTCCTGCCTTTTTTCAATTAATTTCCTATTAATTTGGTTCAGAATGAAGTTCTCAAATGACTGATAAATCTTCTTTAAGCTTAGGAGCTAATCGTTCTTGGAGGAAGGAGAGCAATAGAGGGGAGCAGAAAAAGTCTGTTAATTTCAGCAAATCTCTCAAATATGAAATGCAACAAATGGTAAATTGTCCTGTTGGGTTAATAGGAAAAAAATCTGCTCTTTCAATACCCAAACCTCATAATCTTGTAATACTGATACACTGGCATGAATATTGGTAACTACATCAATACATATTCAACTTTGGGAGATAGTTGCCCTTCTTCTAATAGTACTTCACAGCATTTTCAGTTTTTTTATTGGCAAGTGATTAAGTGTTTTCTGTAAATCTTTAAGGGCCACGAGCACTGCCACTAATTAAAGGAGTTTGTATGCTATAGGGGACTCACTATTTAATTAAATTCATTAGGATTCTTTTGTCGCCTCCAGCATCAGAGATTGGCAAATGTGACTTAAACTTTTATAAGAGCCTCCCAGTATCCTTGAGGAAATTAAATATTACATATATAGAAATACATGTGTCTGTGAGGTCTGGATCTCACCCCAGTGTGGTTTGGTCAACTTAACCATGAATCTTTCTTTTTTAGCAAGTTTTTAGTTCCTGTGAAAGAATTGGGCAGGGGAAGGTGGTGGTTAAGTACACACAGGCAGTGGCAAAGGGCTTTTTCAAAGACATGGGCGTGGTTGTGATTGTTTTTAGAGGGTTTCTGTAGTAATTTCCTAAGATGGGAAAAAAAGCAAGGGAAGTCCTGGTGTCAGAAGAGGCTGAGTTGTCCCAGGAGGAGTCATGTGCATGGAAATGGGCAAGGAAGACTCCCAAGAGCTCCTTGTCACAGGACAATGTGAATTTTTGCAGCATTTCCTACCTCATTTGTGTTTTTTGGTGTTCTGATTTATCTCCAGTGCTTAATGGCAGAATAGTTGGTCCAAAGAGTTTCATCTTTTGGATTTTAAGAGATAAAAATCTCTATAGTCTGAAGCACATCTCCTTCTTCCTCCTCTATTTAGTCTAATTTTTCCCCCATCTTTTTCTCCTCTCACCTGCAAACCCCCTCCTTTCCTTACAGCTCCATTCCAAGCACTTGATTTAGTGTTCATATTCCCAGCACACACTAAGAGTGAGAAACAGTAAAAAAAGTAGAGTAAAACCTGTGCACAGAAGTTCATACCTGAGTAAACCTCTTCTCAAGGCCGTGCTTGTGAGATGCTGGGGTGGGATGCAGGAGCTGCACAGGGTGTGGGATTGGGGGAGCTGATTTTGGGGTGTATTCCAGCACTTGTGCAGGGCTGGGTGATCCCTGCTGTCAGGTTATTCTGCCTGAGGGTGCCTGGGGCTTCTCTGCACAGCAGATAATGATGCTCTCCCTGCTTGGTGGGAGACTGGAAGGTGGAAATGCCTTTTGAGGGTTCTCAGCAGAGCTCCCCTGTGCTGGGTGAAGCAAAGGCTCAAAGCCAAGGGTGCCAAAGGTGCGAGAAGGAAATTAATTCCACTTTCAGAGTGGTTTCCTTGTATTTCTTACATTGCCTTTATTATCCCCAGGTGTTGAGAGGAGCCCAAATGTACCTTAGGTGCAGTTTAAGCCCCCAGATGAAGTGACTCATGGGGAGTAGAAAACACAGCGTGGGCTGAAACAGCCACCGTGATCTCTGTGATGGAGAAAGGTTGGATGTGTGCATGAGGACAGCTCTCAGATGCTGCATCATCTTCTGGCAGCTTCTGTAGTACACACAGCCCCTGGTGGCTTTGGGGTTGTTCTTTTCTGGACAGTTTTGGGGGCATCCAGGACTTGTTTAATAATACAAACAACAATTTGCCAGACTCAGTGATTCAATACGATGAGTGCAGGGGCAGAGGGTGTTTCATGGCATCCCTGAGCTAGCAGCACTGGCTCAGGGTGGAAAAGCAGGAATATATAATGAAATATTTGTGATCTGATTCCTAAACTGGGCATTATTTTGGTGGGGTGGGGTGTGTCTGGAGCAGGGAGCCACAGGGCACTGCTGCAGCACTGCCAAGGACCAGGTTCAGTACTGGGTAAAGCACTGATGTTCAGAAGTGACCAAAACTCCTTCTCCTATGTGAGATTTCTGCAATTGTCCCTGGATTGCCAGCCTTCCACATCTGTCCCAGGCTCAGTGGTCAGTGAACATCCCTCACTGGTGCAATGAGGAGGGAAAACATGAATGTTTTGGGTTCCTCTCAGGGCTGTTGAAACACCCATCACATCCCATGTGCCTCTGCTCCATCCCCTTATCCTGACACAGCAGCACTGAGCTGGAAGGGGACACTGGGGGAGCCGTGCCCTGGGCTCGTGGGAGCGCTCCGGAATCCTGCTAAAAATAAACCAGTTTGTGGTTTATTTATCCTGGAAAGGGATCAGCAGGTTTTTCCTGCACCAGGCCCCAAGGCTGAGGCTGCAGTTTTACTCCAAACCTCCTTTTCCAGGGTCTGAGCTGCCCCTTGGAGGATGGGCAGTGGTGAGGAGCCACAGTGGTGACGTGATGGGCATCTTGAGGGGTGCAGTGATGGAGGTGAATTGGGAATCTTCTCCCATCCCAGCCCCTAGGATTGTCATTTTGGTGCTTTTTCCTTGAAAAACAAAAGAGATGAAGTCAAGGGGCTGCCATGCCTCCTATGCTGGAGTCATCCTCTCTCCCACAGCCATGAAAGCCGACCGCAAGCGCTTGAAGGGGGAGAAGACAGACCTGGTGAGCCAGATGCAGCAGCTGTACGCCACGCTGGAGAGCCGAGAGGAGCAGCTCCGGGACTTCATCCGCAACTACGAACAGCACAGGAAAGTGAGTGCAGGGCCCAGCACCAGCGTCTCGTGGCACAGAGGGCTGGCAGCAGGTTGAGTGTGAAACCTGGTTTGTCATCTGGCAAAATCCCACTAAAGCCCCAGCTGGACTCTTGATGGAGTTGGGGTGGGTCACAGCAGGTTAAGGTTAAATAAACACTGGAGGAAATAGAGCCAGACCTGGAGAATTTGGTGCAATTTTAACCAGGTGCACGGTGAGCATTTCTTTTTTGGGGACTGGCTGCATTCCAGATCTCCCCAAAAAGGGTCGACATCCCTGCCAGCACAGGGCTCCTGTGACACCTGCAGATGCTGCTCATGGTTGTGTGGTCCCCAAGGGGGTTGTGATAGAGGGGTTTTTGGTAGCACATGGGTTTTCCCTTCCTGATGGCCACCCCCTGTCCCGGCAGGAGAGCGAGGACGCGGTGAAAGCCCTGGCCAAGGAGAAGGACCTCCTGGAGCGGGAGAAGTGGGAGCTGCGGCGGCAGGCCAAGGAAGCCACGGACCACGCCAGCGCCCTCCGCTCCCAGCTCGACCTGAAGGACAACCGCATGAAGGAGCTGGAGGCCGAGCTGGCCATGGTGAGCTGGATAATTAATACAGATCTGTGTGTTTGCTGCACTACTGCAATTCTGAGAGGAAAATATTCCATCTCTCCAAACAAGCTTGAGATCCTTGGCACAGGGGGCATCACTCAAAAATAACTTGATATCCCTGGCACAGTTGGGATCTTGGCTTGCCCAGGGGAGGGCAGGTTTGGTGTGCAGCACGTTGCTGCTTGTTCTGCTGCTCCAGAAAATGTTCATACGGTTTTTCCACTCCATCACCACCACCTCCATGTCTTTCCCCAGGCCAAGCAGTCCCTGGCTACGCTGACCAAGGACGTTCCCAAGCGCCATTCCCTGGCCATGCCGGGCGAGACGGTGCTGAACGGCAACCAGGAGTGGGTGATGCAGGCTGACCTCCCGCTGACCGCCGCCATCCGGCAGAGCCAGCAGACCCTCTACCACTCCCACCCCCAGCACTCTGCGGACCGGCAAGGTGGGCACCCCCTGCATCGGGACATGGGCGAGTTCTCATGGCCAAACCCCTTCTGGGGAGGAACGGAGATGGTCAGAACCACTCCTCCCCAGAGGTGTTTTTAGAAGTGCCTCAGAGGCTTTGCTGGTGTTAATTCCCTGTTTTCCCCGCTGCCTTCCAGCGGTCAGAGTGAGCCCCTGTCATTCCCGGCAGCCGTCCATCATCTCCGACGCCTCCGCGGCCGAGGGCGACCGCTCGTCCACACCGAGTGACATCAACTCGCCCCGGCATCGAACGCACTCTCTCTGCAATGTAAGGCCTGCCTGCTGTGCTGCCCTGCTGCTCTGGGGAGAGGGGCTCTGGGGATTCTGTGGGGCCTCTGTTGCCCAAAACAGAGCCAGGTTTGGAGTGGGGGGCACACTGGGGCTTGGCTGCCTTGGGCTGTGTTAGGGTTGATTCAATGACTCCATCTCCTTGTGCCATAGGGGGACAGTCCTGGACCGGTACAGAAGAACTTGCACAATCCAATCGTACAGGTAGGGCACAAATCCTCTCAAATGCTGCTTGTGAGACCCCTTCCTGTGCTAGAAAGTACTTGTGGGTGGTGGATCAGAGGCACCAATTTGGGATGACTGGAAGTCATCCTGAATTGTAAGTCTGGGATGTCTCATATTCCCATAATTTGCCCCAAAGTCCAGGTAATGCCGAAGGCATTCACTGAGCTCAGGCAGATCACGGTGTTGATTTTTATAAGGTCCAGCCAAAGCATGTTACTCTTCTTTATTTGGCCCGCAAACATTGGGATATTTTGCAATCCAGACAGATGCTCTGGCTATTCCCAGAGCTGGAATCCTGATCCAGTTGAATTAAAGAGGCCAAAATCCCATAACTGTGGAGAGAGGGCCCAGTTTAACTGCAAATTCCAGCACACAGGCTCCAGGAATATTATTGTATTTTGGTCCAGGATCTTAACATTACTTTGGATCTGGATGAAAATACTTCGTGGGATCTGGATGCATATGTTTTTGAGACCTGGACTCCAATGTTTTGGGACTGGGACCACATGGTCCATCATCCGTGCTGCGAGTGAACGCGAAAAGCGATAAAGGAAAAGCTGGATGCCCAAACTTTTGTCTTCTCCTTTCACAGTCTCTAGAAGACCTGGAAGACCAAAAACGGAAAAAGAAGAAAGAGAAGATGGGCTTTGGCTCCATCTCCAGGGTGTTTGCACGGGGGAAGCAGCGCAAGTCCCTCGATCCCGGTCTCTTCGACGGGACGGCCCCCGACTATTACATCGAGGAGGACGCGGACTGGTGACGGCGCCGGAGCCTCTCCCGGCCCTGCACATGTACATATCCCATATTCCATATCCCACACCCCGTCCCACCTGTGGACGTGTTACCTGTTGTCTTGGGAGCAATGCAGCCGTGTCGTAACTTCAGTTTTTTTCCTCTTTTTTTCCACCGTTTGATTTTTTTTGTTTTGTTTTTTTTCTATCCCGGTAACTCCTTTGTTGTCGCTTCAGTTTGTCAGTTTGGGCTGGGTTTTTTTTTTTTTCTTGTTTTGGGAGGGTTTTTTTGTTCTTTTTTTCTTGTTCTTTTGACAAAACTTGAAACTTGAAGGACTGCTGTGTCTCTGTAAATATGAGAAATATTGTGCACTTTGTGCTTGTGACGTCTCTTGTCCGAAACCCGCTGTTTTCTGGAGCCCAGCCCGCGGGATGTCCTCTCTTGGGGACAAAGGACCTGCCCAGCTGAGGGATCTTAGAGAGAAAACACACAAAAACAACAACAAGAAAATCTCCTTCGCTGTGATGTCTTCCTGGCCGAGCCCCGCGGAGGCGACCCGGGCTGGTTGTTACGCCTGCCGGTCTGGAAATAAGTGTTTTAACGTTCCTTTTTAGTTGTTTTAATTTATTTGCACAAACCCAGAGGAGCTATTCTAACTAAATTATTGCAGAAGTTTTGGGATTTTTATATTTTTCCACGTCGGTTGGGATGGGGCGGGGAGGAGGAAGGGGGTGTTTGTACTGTACTGTCCTGGGAAGTTGCTGTTGGGGGGGATTGGGGCTGTGGACCCCCCAGCCCGGGCTCCCTCAGCTGTCCCAGGAGCACTTAACGCCTTGGAAAACGCAAACCTGAACACGTGCCGGGAAATCAGACAGGGGCAAGCAAGTGGAAGCTTTGCCCACTGTTCTTCCCTGCTTTTTGGGGGGGGATCACCCTTTGCTTCAAGTAAAATTTAGGGGGATCTGGCACGAGCTGGGAGCAGGGGAAAGGTGATATCCCGAGATATCCCCTATCCCAAGACACTGCCCAGTAGGGCCGGCCACCCCTCTCCAGTGTGGGGTGTCACTGCCGTCAGAGGGGGCTGGGGAAATCGGTACGAGTCCCCACTAGGGAGGTTTTTCTGGCTCTGGGGTGATTTGGAAGCACAGGTGGATCTTGTTTTTCCAAATCCCTCGGAAATGCCCCCAATCCACCCCCCCGGCGCGGCGGCCGCTTCCCCTCCCCACTAACACGTGCCGCGCTCTGCTTATGCCAAGATAAGTACCTTATGCTTTAATGCTTACAATATAATTTTAAGCTCTTAAAAAAAAAAAAAAAATGTATTAAGATTTATTTAATGAACTATAATAGCGTATTATTTTTCTTAATTGCGATACGTGCGCCCTGGTTGAACAGAAAAAGGGTATTTTGTCTTAAATCACCGAATTAAACCGATGCCCTCGCGCTGTGTATCCATTCCAAGGGATGATGCAGAGAGGCCATGGAGGGGGTGACAGAGGGACCAGCCCCCCCAGGCTCTCCTGGGGTGGCAGGGCAGGCTTTGCCCCATGGCATCTTTTCTCTGCAGAGAAGCATTTTTATACATTTTTGTTGTTTTTTGGGGGTTTGTTTTAGTTTGGTTTTTGTTTTTGGGATGATTTATTTAAAAGAGAACTTTGCTAAATAGCATATGAATTATGGGTAACATTAGATTTAACTTTTCCCCCTGTGAACGGGGGAGAATTCTTGAAGGCATGGATGCAAATATAAAATTATAAAAGATCTAAATAAAGCTTATTTTAAAGTATGGATGAACTCCATGTGGTTTAATTGGAGAGCCTGGATGGATGTTGGCATCTCTGTCGTGGCACAGGGTGCAGGACACCCAGAGCACCTCGTGATTTTCAGGGGCTCTGGGTTGATGGGAGGATTCAGGAGGAGGCTGGGACTGTCTGCATCTGCATGAAGTGGGGATTTCAAGGGTTTAAGGTAAGTAAGGACATCCAGGAAATGCCCTGCTTACATATGGAAAATATAATGAGAAGGACCAAGAAAAGTAGAAAGGATGGAGAAATCAGAAAGTGTTGTACTCCAACTGGATAAATTATTGTTATCAATGTACATGTTGATAAATTATCATTATCATTACTATTGTTCAGATTACATTGGTCACCTGTAGGGCTGTGCCAGCACTTCCAGTGGGGCCTGATGCTGTTTTGGAGTCTGGCTGTTTTGCAGGCTGGAGCAGAGGCAACCTGCAATGAGTTTTAAGCCCATAATTAGGGTACAGATCAAGAGATGTACCTTTTCTTCTTTTTTTTCCAACAGCCTCCTGGGTTTGGGAGCAGCTGCAGAGCAGGTAAGAGCCACCATAATCTGAAATGGGGAGAACTGGAGCAGAGAAAAATTGGAAAAACTCCGGAGAAGCCAGCTGGCTCTCCAACTCTATCAGCTGCAGCTGGAATCCAGCACTGATGGGAACTACAGGTGGCATTAAAGGGCAGCTGCTGAGCACAGCAAACATGAGCTGGGCACAGACCATGGTGGGATTTACTGCTCTTGGAGCAGTTCCCTGAGGTTTGGTGCTGTCCTTTGTGCATGGGATTGGGTGCAGGTGCTCATCCATCCCATCTGTTTTAAAAGTTTTGGGAGGCAGGAACATGTCAGAGTGCCACAGCTGTCCTGGCAGGGGTCCTGCCCCTGTGCTCTGGGGACTGTGCCAGAGCCTGTGTGGGTGACACAAGGGTCACCTGCAGAGCCACGGCAAGCAGAGCAGCCACACTCGCTGTGCCCGTGGTGTCCTGGCCTCAGGGGGGCTCTTCTGGGCGCCTTTGTCCCCCCAGCCTGCTCTTCCCTGGCAGTGGAACTGGGAGCTGTGGTCATACAGGAGCCTCATTCCTGCTGCTGCATCACTGCTGCATCCCCCTCACATGAGCCTCATCCCTGCTGCATCCCTACTGCATCCCTGCTACTGCATCCCTGCTGCATCGCTGCTGCATCCCGTTCACATCAGCCTCATCCCTACTGCATCCCTGCTGCATCCCTGCTGCTGCACCGCTGCTGCATCCCCTCACAGCAGCCTCATCCCTGCTGCATCCCTGCTGCTGCATCCCTGCTGCATCGCTGCTGCATCCCCCTCACATCAGCCTCATCCCTGCTGCATCGCTGCTGCATCCCTGCTGCTGCCTCGCTGCTGCATCCCCTCACATCAGCCTCATGCCTGCTGCATCCCCGCTGTGCTGGCTGCTGCAGCACCGTGCTGCACTGCTGCCACCGTGTGAGCAGTCCCCGAGTTCCCACGGCCCGGCTGTGTTTGTTTTAGGTGTGACTCGCCCTCCCTGCTGCACTTTGCTCACGTTGTTGTGCAGACTCTCACCAGAGCCTTTCCCCGGCGAGGACTTTAGACTGAGAGAGGCGAATACACCAACACCGCGTTGGGTGTTGTGTGGGATGGCCGGGGTACCCCGCAGAGGGGACACCCCGTGTCCCCAGCACCCTGTCCTGGTGTGCAGCCCAGCTGTGCCGCTCCTGGCATCGTCTCTGGGCGTCATTGCAACAGAGGCTGGGCTCACCTGCCGTGCCACAGCTTTGCACTGCTAACCTGAGCATCAGGGATGGGCTTGAGAGGTCACAGCAGGGAAACAGGGGTGAGTCTGGGACGTTTCCTGCCTCTACACTGACTCACCCCATTGCTTTAGCTGGTGATCTCCCCAGGCTGGATTTTTGGTGATAAAGAGCTAAACTGATGTACCCCAAACAGCTGAATAAATCATCAGGAGGTTGGTGAGGTTTGGCACGGGGTCAGCCACAGAGTGTGGGTGATGCTGGTATCTCCCCAAAAGCTGCTGTCGAGGGCTGCTGCTGAGGCTGCTGGTTTATTGCTCAGGACTGCAGAAAATTTGGGAATGTGCCTGTCATTAATTCCCCTATTTTCAGTGTTTTCCCTGGAGTTTTCCGCTGGTGCTGCTTTGAGTCCTCACCTGCTCAGCCCAGGGGATTCAGCAGCGCCTGACAGAATCCCTCACTGCAAACATCCTTTGGGACATCCTGCTCTGCCACTGTCCCTGCAGCTGTCCCCACTTCAGCCCCTGTCCTTACCTCACCCTGACCTGACACAGCCACGAGCACCAGCAGAGCACAGAGCGAGCAGCTCTGCTCCATCCAGCCGGGACTCTGGAGCTGTGCTAAGGCCTCATATCCAGGTAAGGTTTCCTTGGAGTTTTATCACTGCCAGTGATTGATTTCCCAGCATTTTCACCAGCCCTCACCAACTGCTCCTAATTTTGAAAAGCTACATAAATCTCTGCTCAGCTCTTTTAAATTTTAATTTTAATCTTTTAAGCTGCACAACACCACTGCAGCTCTTCTCTTCCAGCCTCATCCTCAAGCCCTGGGTCTCCAATTCCCAAGTTCTGCCCGAGCCAGAGCTTCACCCATGGGACGCAGCAGCCCCCGGAGCAGCTCCAGGAGGAAGCAGCAGGTTATTTATTGTTATTACTTTGAGCACAACAGCTTTATTTACAGTGTTTTCCAGCTGCAGACGTGCGTGTGCTTGAAGCGGCAGACGGTGACCTGGCACGGTGGCTGGACCGGTTGGACCGGAACCGCCAGGTCCCGGCAGCCCCGGGGACACCGGATCCTCACCCCGCCAGGAGATGCTGGCAGGTCGCACCCTCCCACCAGCAGCGTGTGGAAATGCCTCCTAAGTGGTTGGTTTTCCTCTTTTTCCCCACTTGCCTGGCAGGTTCCCAGCCTGCAGCCCGGCAGGGACTCTAAATTGGGGTGCAGAAGGGAAGGCATGAGGAAGAGAGAGAAAAATATAGACCAGTGTGTGTGGGCTGGGAATGGGATCTGAGGGAGCCCATCATGGAGCTGGGATGGGCTTTCATCCTAGGGGCAAAGCTGGGGCCCTGCCAGGTTCCATTATACATTGTATTTATATATATATATTATATTTCTGGTGTTAATTAGCTGTTAACTCTATTAATCATCAAATTACAGAATAGTTTGGATAGGAGGAGACCTTAGAGACCATCTCATCCCAGCCTGCCTTGGGCAGGGACACCTCCACTACCCCAGCTTGCTCTAAACCCCATCCAGCCTGGCCTTGAACATTTCTAAGGATGGGGCAGCCACAGCCTCTCTGAGCAACCTTTGCCAGGGCCTCACCACCCTCACAGGGAAGAATTTCTTCCTCATATCTAATCTAGATCTACACTCTGCCAGTTTGACCCCATTTCACCTTGCCCCATCACTCCATGGCTTTATAATATATTAATATTACATGTAAATGTGCAGTCTGGTGGCTCTAGTGACCTGACTCCCAGGGACAGCCTTCACCTCTTTCAGGATCAGCCATCCAGCTGTGGGTATCCAGGAATCACTTGGAGCAGTGCTTTGGCTCACTTTT